CGTACTCAGATTGGCCTCCAATGTATCAGACATGCCACTCACTTCTTAGCACAATCTGCAGATTCACAAAGCCTGATTCTCTACACTCCCTGTCACATACAGAGATGGAGCAGCCAAGATCGAAGAAGAATGAAGAATTCGTTACAGCCGCTGGGAAACAGACTATAGGAAGTCAGTTCTCAGCCACTGCAGCTCCACCAGGAAGTTTTTATTCAACCAAGCTGAGGCTAATGGCTTTCTAAACATCCAGGCATGTCACTGAACATCTCTGTGAACATCTACTTGAGGTCCTCTGATTCCTGCCTTTTACACATATCCCTCTTCTGATTTCTTTCCTGCACTTTCTCTTTTGGCTGTATGCAAAAGATTTTTTATTCTCAGTCTAATTTTTCTCCTTACCTTCAGTCTCATAATAGGTAAGCTCACCCAAATCCTGTCTTTACATACTGTAACTCTAGTCTCTCTCCAATGTCCTAGGAGCAAACAGTCATGAAGCTTCTTATTTGCACAAGAACACAAACATGGTCTTGTCCATTTTTGTGCAAACCCCATTTTTGTGTATAGCACATTCTCTCCCTCCCAGGAGAAGCTTATGGGTCCCTGGCTTCTCCATCCAGTGCATATTTTTTGCTTTTCCATTACAGCCCTTATTACAAAGAATGACCAGAGCTTTTTCTCTGTGGTCTCCCACTGATTTGCAAACTGCCTGAGAACAAGAATCCTGTCTTTTCATGAAAGTGCACCAGATATCTATCAAAGTGTGTATCAGGACAGTCAAAAAATGTCATGCAAAGAAAATAATGCATCCACTTTATAGAAACATTGTCAACATCTTTCTTTATATAAGTAGGCATTTTTGAACTTAAAAATTAACTATAGGCAAATTGATAGGAACAAGGAGATTAGGGAAGGTAATAAGGGAAGGGACATGGGAAATAAGTCTTGAGGGGTCCAGAGTTTCTACTGAGGTGATGGAAAAGTTTTGGACTATGGTGGTGGTTGTACAACACTGTGAATGTAACTAGTACTACTGAATCATACACTTACAAATGGCTAAAATGTCAAATTTTATGTTATATTACTGCAACAAAATTTAAAAATGACCTATTTACATACAGAAAAGACATTGAAATAGTCCAAGTAACTAAATGCACATTTTCTAAAAGGAAAAGCGTATTTGCTACATAGAGAACTCATAAAAAAAAANAGGAACAAGGAGATTAGGGAAGGTAATAAGGGAAGGGACATGGGAAATAAGTCTTGAGGGGTCCAGTGTTTCTACTGAGGTGATGGAAAAGTTTTGGACTATGGTGGTGGTTGTACAACACTGTGAATGTAACTAGTACTACTGAATCATACACTTACAAATGGCTAAAATGTCAAATTTTATGTTATATTACTGCAACAAAATTTAAAAATGACCTATTTACATACAGAAAAGACATTGAAATAGTCCAAGTAACTAAATGCACATTTTCTAAAAGGAAAAGCGTATTTGCTACATAGAGAACTCATAAAAAAAAAAGCTCAGCAATTAGTCTTGGAAACAAATATAATTGTAGCAATAGTATTTTTTTTTCACTTATTCTCATTTAAGGTGAATATTACTGCACATAAAACATCATTAAGTAATGCAATCAAATTAAAAAGTGAATGAGTAGATAATTAAATGCTTTTTTAAAATCACTATTTAAATAAACAAACCTCTGAGGTTGAATGATTGGGTGTCACCAGCGGAGTTCGTCATGCTGCTGATCACAGGTGGGCTTTCTCGGGTCAGGACGGACGACTGTCCACATGCATCTAGAGTAGACATGAACACATCTGCCATCTGTTTTTGATAGGATGGGCTGTCAAGTTGGATAGTCTGGAGGCTTAAGGGTCATATGGAGTGAACTTGTGCCCCAGATCTGCCTCAGATTTTGTGACCTGTGTAAGATATTTCATGTTACAAATGTTTTCTCATCTACCAAATGAAGAGAAAAAAAAAAAAAACAAAATAAAAAGTCCAACTTTATTGCTTTTCTGTGACAGTCAAGAGCACTGGTTAGGGCTTGTCATGTAGACGTTCTTTATTCATCCTTCACAAATAGTTCTAAATAAATTTATGTTGAACAAATAGTTATTGTATGTAGATATCATGGGTTCTAAAATAACAGTATCACCAGATATTCTCTGTGTAAAGTTTTTTTGTTGTTTTTGTGTGTGTGTTTTTGCTAAATTTATACTTAGCATACTTTGTAATTTATGCAATATTATTTCATCTAAAATTCCAAGCTATAGTTTGGAGGCTTTGGGGAAATACAGATCAATGTTCAGAGCTCCCCTATTGCTGGCATTCTGTAAGCTCTCTTTCTCCAGCAAACGTAGTGGTTAAAATTGAGACTCATTCCTTGCCTTGGAAGGTTAGTCTTATAAGCATTGACTTTCGTGTGTGGATTTTTTTCTGACCTTTTTCTCTTTTTCTGTTTCCTTTCACGCTGAATTCGGTGTAGCAGACCACTTGGGGATTGAATTCATGGGTAAGACTAAACAATTTCCTTCTTAAATATCCTGGAAAAGCAAGTTTTATAATTTACATAGTGCTCTTCTTCTCCATCTGATTAAAATTAAAATGTCTCATTATCAGATGCTATTAGTAACAAAAAATGTTGTTGATTTTTCACTAAGTAATGGCTCAAAATGGGAAGGCAATTTAATGTTAAGTGCAGTTTGTGGAGTCATACAGAAGCTGGATTTGGCTCCTGGCTTTGATTGTTTCCTCTAATTCTCAATTCTCTTATGTGTAAATAGGGATCATAATAGTTCCTATTTGACTGCATCTATAAATTGCTTAGTATAATGTCTACAACATGGCAAAAACTCAATAAATGATAGAAAACAGTGGTTTTAAAATGTCAGTTTTTGTTATTTTCTGCTCTCTCCTTTTTCTTTTGCAAGATTACTTTGGATACACTTTGCTGTCAATCTTAATTTTGAATGTGGGCTATGAAACAATTCCATGTACAAAACTGAAACATTTTTGATAGTATTTTCAGTGACTAGTATGTTTTTAAAGCATTAGAATGCCTTCCATGAGCATTATTTTCTATATTCACAGAAATTTTCTATCTTCACATTGCATTAAAAATTAGACAAAACTCTGAGTCCGTACTTTGTTATAAGTTAAATGATAAAGAGCATTCCTTAATGTTCAATATGCATCACTGTATAGGAATAAAAAGATGCTCAAGGGTTAGAGCTGGAGAAATTGAGATGATCTAAATTTGAATCCAAATTCATCATGCTCTGCGTGTTTGGCTTTTGATGAGCTTCAGATTTTTTTCTCTTGTATGATGTGGATATGAATACTTGTTTCATCCATGAATATGTTTATTATGGTAATATTTATACATTTACTTATATTCATTTATCCATTCACCCATTTATTCAGCAAATATTTATCAAGTTACTATCAGCAAAGAAAAAGTGTGAAATGCTAGAGCTAAAATAATGAGTAAAAGTGAAGAAAAACTTAGTCCAATAGAGCTTATAGTCTAGTAAACTTTCAGATAATAATAGGATAATCAAACTTTTAAAAATTGCATGTTCCTTAAGACCTGCTCCAGGCAAGATGATAGTAGCTTGGACTAGTGTGATGGCAGAAAATATGGGAAAAAGTTAACAGATATTTAAGATGTAATACCAACAAGTATTTGAGAGGTATTAATACCGAAGGTTGAAAGAGGGAGATTATCAAAGATAAGTGCAAGGTTTATCATTTGCATATTTAGACAAGAGATGGGCCACTTAATGAGAAAGAACACTGATGGAAGAACAGATTTATGGGGGATGTCTACTAGACTAGGTGTAAAAATGTTTAGGTTGGGGTGCTTTGACATTTATGAGAAGATGTCAAGTTGATAGTTGTATTGCTGGAAGTGTGGGGGGTTGATTAGAGATTAGTGATTGCATCTTTATTGTAGAATTGGTCTTTCTTGTTGTGTGATATTATTCATTAGTGCTCCATTATCTGAGTATTACATCATAGAAAAGACAGCTCAATACCTGAAAATTTCAGTTTTGCTATATAGATGTGATGGCCACTCAGAAGGCAATGAAATTCAGGATATCATTGAAATGAAACACCATGGAATGTAAGGTAGATGTGGAAGGAAGTGAAGAAATAACGACTATTTTGATGAAATCAATTAATATGCACCGTGAGAGTACATGAACAAGTTGGTGGGATGGAGTGGAGATGATAATCGTATGGCATATTTGTTGATAATAATTTTGAAGATGTAGGAGATGATAGGAGATGACAATTTTCACAGTATGCCTATGAGGGTGAATGACCAAATTTAGGTAGAGGAGGAAATAATTTAATATTAAAAGTCAAGGATTTGAGAGGACATGATTGTGGATAGGTTGTCTAAGCAGATATTACACAAAACGGTTGTGGTATGCCACTCTCCAATAACTGAGATGGACTATACTGGAGTCTAGCAGATGACAAAAAAAATGTGTATATAATGGCTCAAACATAGTAGCAATTTATTTCCTGCTACTATTTTTTTCTGCCCAAGGTAGGTGTTCCTACTCAGCAAATGACTAGTTTTTATCTAAGAAGTAAATCAGAGTTCCAGGCTCTTACCATTTTGCAACTTCAGTATCACCTAGGTTTCCTTGTCGTTTGCATCTAACCAGCAGACAGGAAAAGAGAACGTCGCAGAGACATAACTACTTCTTAAAAGACTTGTTCTAAAAGGGCTCACATCACTTTTTGATTGACATTCTATTAGCTAGAGCTAAATCACATGACCACATCTTAGTACAAGAGAGGCTGGGAAATGGAACCCTAATGTCTTTGAGAGGTAAGAGGAAATAGATTTTTAGTAATCTCTGCCATACTATGAATGGCATAAACTTTAAAGAAACACAATTTTTCACAAGACAAGGGAAGGATACTTTAGGACTCAGGAGAACAGATCCCCAACTGTGAAAGTAAGAAAATAAAAACAGAGTTTGAGAGAGAGAGAGAAGAAAGGAAATTTTCAAGCAAGATCCAAATTTCAGTTAAAATAGGAAGAAAAAAGAAAGAGGCAAAGAAGAGATTGAGGATGCAGAGGGGGTGTTGCTGGACATGGATGAGCAATTTCATTGAGGCAAACGGGGAGTTTAATCAGTGGAGGAAAAGTAGGAAACTGAATCATGGGCCCCACCAATTACAGCAAATTATGGACATGGTTGTGAAACTCAGGATAAATTGCTGAGGAAAGCATGCGGTCTGCTCAGATCTCATTCACTAATGATGGCAGGGATCAGTGGCATGGAGGCATAAGCATCAAGAGTCACTTTGAGGAAAGTAAGCACTGGGTCTAGGGGCCAAAGAAATTTGCCCCCACTGGGCTGTGGTGATTGCAGGTTCAAAGAACAGAGGCTCCCCACATTGTTTAGCAGAATCCCCACAGATGCAGGAAACACTGCATGGCTAGTGGTGGGGCTGGGCTAGCTTCAGACCCCACAAGGAGTGTGGCCGTGGTATTAGCAAACTACAGGGGCTACACAAATGCTATTAATTATCAGTGTTAAAAGAAATGGAACAGTCTCCATCCTACTGTGGTTTGCCCGAGGACCTCCAGGGTCACTGGTAACTTAGAGGGTAACAATTTTCTATGGAACCCAAACATGTATTAAGAGGTGTGTTGTTAGAACTCATTGAAAGAAATGTAGTTACTGGGAGGGGAAAAATAATAGGTTATTGTGTCGTTCATATGTATGGATCTCGAGACTAAGTGAGTGACTTAGTGAGCCTGACCTATGAGAGGTCAGGCTCTGTGCTGGGCCAGGGAGACACTAAGTCAAGTAAGACAAGAAGTTCATAATTCAGTGTGAGAGACAGACTGATAAAGCAATTATTGCAATTCAGTGCAAAAAGGACTTGAACTATTGTTTTATTTTACAAAAGGCCAGACGAGGGCTAATAATATGCAAGATATCATTATATGTTTCATAGACATGCATATAAATATAGTTTGAGCTCACATACATGTGGGAAACACTGGGTTCTGTGCCTCTAGTGCACAATTTCACAAAGCATTTGGTATAATTCTATCCATTTGTGAATCTCAGAGAGAAAGAAAGCTATAGTAGGTGACTTTTTTTGAATTAGACGTACAAAAAAGCATCCCTGTTAGATCTGGGGTTTAGGTAAATCTTGGGATAAAGGAACACAGAGGGAGAAGCACACATACCCCATCAGAACAACCGGAGATATCTTTATGTGAAAGAATAAAAAATATTTCTACAGTTGGGATATGGAGAAAGAAAATATGAGGGAAAAGGAAAAGGAAGAACAAAGGTAAATAGATAAAAGAGTACAGGGGTGTGGGAAATGGCAAGAAGTTTCAGGTAACTGAATAAACAATACAGATGCAAGGGCACGGAAAGTGCTGTGGTTGTCAAGAGGACAGAGCAAATTATAGCGACTCTATCTGCCTTTTGAAAGGAGTGTAACTTTGTCTTATTGCGGAAGAAAGCCTTCTAAGGTTCCAAGCGGGCAAGTGATCAGATTTCCCTTAAACAGCTTTCTCTGTCAGTAGCTGTCCGTAGAGTTTCCCCGAAGGCATTGCATGCAGAATTCCAGCTAACGGAACGAGCTCAGAATTCTACTTCAACTATTCACCAAATTCTAGCTCTTTGAGCAACACTGCGGGCATTATTAAGATGAACTTTCTTCATATAGTCTGTGTCAGATGCAGAGAAAGAGGCAAGGGCAGAGTTCCTGGGGAAGCGATAGGATGAGTTGCAATGAGGACCACCCGCAAGGTGGACCTTGAATTGGTCTTTGAGGGAAGCGTAGGATTTCTGCAGGTAAAGGTGGAAACAGCCTAATGAAGATGTCAGAGTGAACATGACCAAGGTGAGGCAATGTGTTTAGAAATATTGGCTGTCATCAGCAAAGGAAACTGCATTATAAGTTAATGTTAATTACATGTAATTTAATGTTAATGTTCATTCCCCTGCATAAAACTTTCTTATGAATTTAGGATGAAATCCTCTGTAAACTGCCATGCCAAGTTCTCCGTGGTCTGGCTCTGCCTACCTCTCTGAGCTTCTGCCACATCACGGAAGATGTCAGAGTGAACATGACCAAGGTGAGGCAATGTGTTTAGAAATACTGGCTGTCATCAGCAAAGGAAACTGCATTATAAGTTAATGTTAATTACATGTAATTTAATGTTAATATTCATTCCCCTGCATAAAACTTTCTCATGAATTTAGGATGAAATCCTCTATAACCTGCCATGCCAAGTTCTCCGTGGTCTGGCTCTGCCTACCTCTCTGAGCTTCTGCCACATCACCCCTGTCCTTGTTCCTCCACCTGTCTCAGGGCCTTTGCACTAGCTGGTCCCTCGGTACTAGCTATCTTGCTTATCTGCACATGGTTGGTTCCTTCTTCTCACAAAGAATTCAATTAAAATATACTTCTTAAAAGACTGTTAAGCCACCCTGTTTTATGTACTTCCTGTCTTACTTG